TGTTTTCCACTAAGAAATCCAGATTCTATTTGGAGATGGGCTGGTCAGGGCACCTCTTTGTATCTGAAGAACTTTCTTCAGTTTTCTGGAAGCCTTCCTTGTATTTCATTTCTCCTTCCTCACCCTCAATTTCTTTATTCTTCTTTTGGGAATTCTATTTGTGTGTGTGTGTGTGTGTGTGTGTGTGTGTGTGTGTGTCTTTGATTTAACATGCTCCTTATTCCTTGCCTCTCCTTGGAGTTCTGTAAGAATGGCTTTCCTGGTTACTGTCTAGGCAATTTATTGGTATAATCCAATTGTTGTGTAATAACCTAATTTCAGTCAGGGCAGCAGGGAAGAAAGAAAGAATTGCTCAATGTTAATAGTCTGTTGCTGTGGTGGTGTGTGTACTTCTTCTCTGCTTTGGAGCTAAATGAATTGCAAATGTGAGCTTGGATGAGAGAAGAATTTTAACTAGTGCCTGGGTTTCCATGGCTTCAGAACATCTTACTATCACCTCAAGGCCCTCAGCATCTGGGCACTGACCTCCTCTCTCCACACCCCCTGCCCTGTTGCTTTTGTTCCTCATGTTCTAGCCAGCATAGAATTCTGCAGTTTTCCAAATATGGAAACTTTGTTCCTACCTCCAGACCCTTGTGCTTTCTGTTCCTGGTACTTGTAAGGTTTTTCTTCCAAGTCTTTGCTTGATAAACTACACTCATCCTGACAATTGAAATGCCCTTTTCAAAGCCTGGTTTTATGACTACTCAATCCAAGGTAGGTTCTTCCTCTCTCACAGAAACTTGTTTTTCTCTAATGACAACACATTTCATAATTTGCAGGAACAGAATGATGCCTTCCTTTACTTTCTTAATACCTCTGTACATCCCTGCAGTGAAAGATCTTCAAGAAAGGACATCAGTAGTTAGCCTCTCATTGCATAGTATAAGCCCAGAACACTTCTTAGCACTGGAATGGCCTAAACAAATATTTGAATTAATAAACACACTTGTGCTTGTGAAAAGGGAGGGAATATGAAACTGAAATCCTGGAGATGATTTCTAATAGAATTATTCAATTACATAATATATTGAATATGGGAGAAGCTATTTCAGTAAAACTAATTTTCTTAATAGATTTTTGAAAGGTTGAAGTACTTTTGGAGTTTTTTTGCAATTCAGGGAAAACCCAGCCTGATCAGTAGAATTATTCCCGCCCCCCAAAAGCTGTCCTTTGTTTTAAAATAAGAAAACTGTATTCTCACAACCTCTTTCATCCTCAAAGCCTTCACAAGTATTAATTAATCCACAAAATGGTATCTGGCTCTAAAAGGTAGAATCTGTGACTTAAGGTTTATCTGCAAAAGCCTGCTTTGCCCCCAAGCCATGGCAACTTCCTGAGCTCTGTCCTCAAAATCCTCCTAGCTCAGGAGGAAGCAGATGATTCTCTGAAACCTGCCACAGGCTTTTGACTCCTGCAGGGTTATCCATAGACATGTCTTATTTCTTTTGATAAAAATAAATAAGATAAAGGTTTAACATGCTATAAACAGGGTTATGTTCCCTGAATAACTCTTTAGGGAGAGGGAAATTACTCTGAAAATAATTGGGTTTCATGAACAGTTGTATTATAGTATATATAAGATCAAGAAATAAATCCATTAGTATATTTAATGTTTCATGTTTAAAGTTGATGCTGCATTCTAAACATTTCTAAAGCAATCACACTGCTTCTCAGGAAATTATTTTAATCTTCCACTGAAAGCCTGTGGGTTTGCATACCATGTGGCATAAATGACATCACCTGCCAGCAAACTGGGTAGTGTCCATCATGAGATTTTTAGACTCCAATTAGTGAAGTTTCCTGGATATTAATTGAAAGGAATGCATTGTGTTTTTTTTTTGGGGGGGGTTAACCCTGGACACAATCAACTTTATTAAAGAGAACTTTAAATAAGAGATGAAGCACCCCTCCCAAAGGAGATTGGCATGTATTGGAGCATCCACATGAAAGATTTCATTTTAAAGTGTATCTTTTTCCTCCAAAGGGGGTGGAGCTAATGGGCTGTTTCCAAGTTATACCTAAAGCCAAAGGCTCTTATGAGTCCTGGAAAATGTTCTGGAATGTTCTCTGGATATGAGATAAAGGAAGTAAGATTTGTAATGTAGCACATTTTAGAAATAAATAAACTTGAGGATTCATATGATAAAAATAATAAATAATCACACCAATTTAAAAGCATTTATTAAGTTTTCTAAGGGATCTGTATGTATATTATGCCATATAAAAATTCCTCCTGGTAGGTATTGCCAAGAGAAACTAAAGCAAGAATAAAGAAATATAAGGTTATGGGGTAAAGGAATATAAGGTTATATTAGATGTACAAAAGATTTTATGGGTTCTTAGAAACAATTCAAGTCTTAGTAAATGGCAATGTAGAGTTCAAAATTAATCAGATTTGTTTTTTTTTCCTTGTGGGGAAGGGTTGATGGTTAATTGGCATTGCACCCACAATTCATCAATAGGAGTTTGTAGTAAAGATGATATTTCTATCTTTAAAATAACGTTGATACAGACATGCAATGTAAGTAGATGTGGATGTATAAAAGTTGAATATTACCTGTGTTTAAAAGACACAGTAAGATAAATTATTACTCAGAGAATCTAGGGAAACTCAAGTCAGGACTATGACATAAACTGATTAGTAATTTCAAAAGTTTATAGAACTAATGGGTGTGTGTGTGTGTGTGAGAGAGAGAGAGAGAGAGAGAGAGAGAAGAGAGAGAGAGAGAGAGAGAGAGAGAGAGAGAGAGAGAGAGAAATACACATATATGCATATAAAAAGATTTAGAGCAATTACAGAATAAGGGCTTAAAAATTATAGCTTTACTATTAGGAACATATCTATGAACATCTGAGGTAAACATTATTTCAATAAACCTTTAATATCTTTCTGTTACATCAATTGACTAATATGTGTTTCACACTAGTGCCAAAGCAATAGAAGTAAGAGAACAATATAATAAAGAAAATACAAATCATGGCCTTTAACTACAAGGCATTTGCAGTCCAGTCATGGAATGGAACAAGTATATTGTGAACAACACAAATTTGTATATGAGCATGAAAGAAAGATAATTTCTACAGAAAATTCCAGTTCTTTCAGGTAAGAGCCATGCCTTAATCACATTATTCCTGCCATGAGGGTTTGTATTTGGAAGTATATAATAATATAAATCAGAATCCATGAGAGAAGTCTATAGACTTAATACCAAAGAAGAATGAAAGCTTTCATTTGAGAGTTGTAATAAGGAAATGAAGTAATTATGATAGTATTGAGGGAGGGTTAGTCTGGAATCACTGCCTGTGATCAGTGGAGTAGCATGATGAAGTGTGGAAAGATCAGAAACACTGGAAGGCCTCATGAGGGTGTGTGTGTATGTGCACAGTATAAACATAGGAAATCCAGAAACATAGGGGCTGAACTTGGTGATATATGTGAAGGGTCATAGGGAAAATGAAGAATCCAAAGAAAATGTGTTTTAGGTATCAATAAATATTTGCTGCTAATAAAGATGGACTTGATGGAAAGGGGAACTCTGGAAGGTTCTGCTGATGGGTTCCCATTGGGAAATCTCACTTCTGTTACAACACTGGGAAAGAAGTCTTGAAACAAATGACAAGGTAGTGCTCAGCAATATAAGATAAAATAAAAAGAGAAAATATCCAAGTATATATCTGTATATTATAAACTTACAAGTAAAACCAAAAGTCATTAACTTTTAATTTATGAACTCATTCAATACATATTTATGGCATTTTTACCATTATTCTAGAAGTCATTTATTGCAATCACTAAATTAATAATGATTGCTAATTTTAATATTCTAGCAACCTTTAGAATAACAGGAACAGAATAATGAACATAGGAGACAAAACTTCTGCCCTCAAGGAACTAACATTCTTTGTTAGTTAATGGAATGACATCTAAAATTGTATAGTATGCCAAATGGTGGTAAAGTCATTTAAAAGGATAAGAAAGAAGGACTGTGGATGAAAATGTCATATATTTATTTGTGTGTTTATTTAAAGTAGATTATGGCAGACCTATTTTTAAAAGGTAATATTAGAACAGAGATGTAAAGTAAATGAAAAATGAGACTTACAAATTACTGGGTACTAGATGAATTGCATTGTAAACAGAAAAGAAAAGCTAAATGGAATGGCCTTGCAGAAGTAAGAAGTTATCAGCTTAGTTGGAGGAAAATGAGCCAGAGAGAAGAGGGTGAGGGGTAAGAACAGAGAAATTGTGGGACTTATAAAATATGTGAACTACTGGGTGTTTTTCAACTTTTATCTTGGAAGTCACAGAGTATTTGAGACAAGGAATCATATGGGCTGAAAATTTGTGTCCTCCTCAAAGTTCACATGTTAAAATCTTAAACTCCAATATTAATGTATTGGAGGTGGCAACTTTGGGAGTTAGTTTATGAGTAGGGAGCCTTTATGAATGGGATTAGTGATTTTACAAAAGTCAACTTGGAGAGCTCTCACTCTCTACCACGTGAGGGTATAGTGAGAAGTCTATAGTTTTAAATTAGGAACCTGACCACGCTGGTGCACTGATCTAGGGCTTTCAGATTCCAGAACCATATGAAATATATCTCTGTTGTTTATACACCACTGGGTCTGTGGTACTTTGCCATAGCAGCTTGAATGGACTAAGACAGTGGTATAGCAGCCTCTGGACAGCAGGCCTATCCTGCCAACACCATGTAAGTGAGCTTGAAAGCAGATGCCTCCCAGGAAGAAGTTCAGATGTGATCCTTGTTCTAGCCACCATCTTGATTGCCACCTTTGAGTATCTCTGAGCTAGTGGGTACTGGTAAGACATGCCCAGATTCCTGAACCACAGAACATGAGATAATAACACATGCTGTTTTAAGTTACTGAGCTTAGTGAAAATTTATTTTGTAGCAGTACATCAAAGCATACATTAGCGTAGTAAATTCATCACTCACCAGTTGTTCCAGTGGAGGAATTACTTCCTTCAAGACATGCTGTGAATGGTTCCTTCTGTGTCGGGATATCTGCAAATATATTGGCATTTGATACCATTACATTATTTTCTTTAAAAAGCTATAAATGATTTAAAAGTTCATAATTCAGTAAGTATGCTCATGAAAATAAGCATATTCAGATTCATTAAAGAAGGTGAATATAATACTTATAAAATCAGAAGTATTTTAGATGTCAATTGATTTGAATAAAGTTTGTATTTAAACATAGCTAGCTGCCACAACATCTTGTATCCCATATAGTCTTTTAACTGTTTAACCTTGGCACCTCTTTCATCAAGTAGTGAGATCTATGAACTCTCATTTTGAAACTGGCTATAGCTTTACACCAAAACACATGATAGAAGTACCACTACATGGCTTCAAAGGTTGGAAAATTATGCACTCCCTACTTGAAACTCTCATTTTGTAAAATGGTTGCCATGTTGTGAAAAAATGCAAATCACTCCCCACAGAATGACCATAAGGATAGGCTTCATAGGACTTCATAGGTCACAGCAACCACCATCTTTCTCCAATCCTCTGAGTATGAAGACTTTCTGATGATCTTAGAATCCAGCCATGGAGACATCTCAGCCTTCAAGTGTCCCAGGAGAGCTCTCAAACATCATAGGATAGAAATAAGCTGTTCCAACATCTGTATATCTAAAGTATTTTACTGACATAAATATAACATTATAAAGTAAGTGTTTAACATAATAAAGTGTTTTACACCTCTGTGTTTCAGGTTATTTGAAAATGCAGCAAAAATAAGTGGAACAAAATATTTCATACTAAAACTATTTTGTCTTCATGATATGACCTCAGCTTTTTCAGAATCAATGTTAGTCAAATTTTTCCTATGTTACTGAGAAGTAATTTAAAACAAAAATCACATGATAATTACTCATGGAATAAATAAAAATTAGCATTTTTGTTCTTTCCCCTGAAGAGATATCATAGACAAATTCTATTATAAAACAGGAAAAGGAAAAGAAGGAACTTATGAAAAGAAAATAGGGAAGGAGGAGGAAGTGAGGAAGAATAGAAGAGAGGAGGGAAAGCCGGCGGTGGGGAAGAGAGGGGTGAGAGAGAAGTTAGAATAAAAAGTGACTAAGTACTTGATGTAGAAAAGGACTTGGCTGTCTTTGCTCTGGTTACTGGCACATGTAATTGAAGGAATTAGATCAATGTCTATGAATATTTTAAGGGAATCATATTACCAAAGAAACCAGCAGCCTCGCCTAAAAAAATTCCATGACTATACAATCCTGGAACCCCATATCTGCTCCAAAAATATTGGATTATAAAGGAAGTATACAACCAAAGAGATCGTTTTCCCCACTGTCCACTCCATATATGGTTCATGGGAGATAATACAGAAGGAATAACCTGTGAAAGGAAGGGCCAGAAACCCAAGAGAACAAAATATTTAGGGAATTCTAGGAAGGAGAACCAGATCTATCACTAAGGCCAGTGTAGGAGTTTCAAAATCCTGCCACCAAGGATCTAATTATTGATTTAGTCCAATAATTGATGGATGTTTACCATTTTGCTTTTTAACTAGGAAGAGGGTTTTTGGCATATTTATTTCAGTTATCAAGTTCTTGCTCTGTCGTTGCATACAGGAAGTCATGGCTAAAGTGGAACAGAGGACTTTTTTTGAAGTTCTAAATCCCTCAAAAAAGACCTGAACCTTATGGAAAGTGTTATTTCTTACTGTAGATTATGGTAATAGAGCTTGATGCATAAATTGGATGAGATTTTTGGATGTCTCTTTAGAGAGGTGGATGATGTATAGCTAAGTGTTGAAAGATGTGTGCAAAGTGGCAAATGGTGAAGGGGAAGAAATATTTTGTATTCTGACTCTGAGGCACATACTTTGACCACCTTTCTCAGACTACCTTACCATGGAGTGGACATATGACTAGGTCAGACCAATGGAATATGAGCAGAAACAATGAAGCAATAATACTAGAGCTATTATCCAGTGAGTGTTTCCCTTCCATTCCCTCTTTATTCATATACTAAGAGGAAATAATGAACTAGTCTCTATGAAATGATGAATATATAAGAGGAATGAGTTTGGGTTCTGAATCTTCAAATTGAGAAAGCCAAACCCAGATGCAAAAAGATCATTTTGTTTTCATCATTAAACTTTTTATTTGTAATAGTTTTATATTTAGAGAAAAGTTGCAGAGAGTTTCTACAGAAAACTTCCTTCTTTTAGGTAAGTGATAAATAAATTTCTATTTCTTGGAGGCATCATATATTTAAGAGAATTTTATAGCTGCTAGCAATATTTTAAAAACAAGATGACCATGATTAGAGCTCAATTGATGTCAAAATGAAAGGTCTTATGCATAAGGAAACTGAGAACAAAATAGTGACTTAATGGGAAGGAACCCAGAAACTCTAACTTCATTCTGGTTATCCACTGATATTTCAGGTTCTCAGCAGTGGGAGAACTGTTTATTTGGCATTTAAATCTCTTAAAGAACCAGAAATTCACTTTCTACTGTTACAAATTCAGAGTTTACATCTCTTAGCTACTCATTATACTAATATTTGTTCTCTCCATTGAAAATTTAATACATGTTTTACATTCAACTTAAAAGAGTGGAAGAGTTCTGGGATGGGGGAGTTTTTATTTTATTTCCTAAAAACTTAACTAGATGTCCAGTCTTAGGGCAAAAGTCATTCTCCTGGCATGTAAAGCACTTCACATGTTAAAAAAAAAAAATAGCACTAAGCAAATGGTGCACAGTACTGATGAACAGGCCCCTGGCCATTTGCCCATGTTAGTTTTATCATTTCTTCTATGGCCAATATTTCTCCTTTTACATCACCAGAGCTGGGATTTGATAGGTACATTGCTCTACCATATTCTAAGTGTTTCCTTCCACTTATCTGTAGAAAGCTTTTTTCTAAGGCAGTGCATCTAATTGTGTTTTATACATATCATCAAGAGCACAAGAGATTATTTCAGCTGGTGACTTTTAAAGTTTTATTTATTATTTATAAAATCTTAAGATTTAGTAGAAAAATTATCACATAAAAGCCATTTTACTAGTTTCCTTTAAAATAAAACTATTCAAGTTTAAGTAATATAATTATATAAGTAGTATATGGTATGAAATATGGGCAAAAGCTCACTAACATACTAAGTTAATGACTAAAGTCTTGGAATAATTTTATTAAGAAATCAGAACAGAAATGCTCTTTCACAGAAAACATATTTATATCTCTGTAAAAAAAAGAGTCCCATTGAGTCCATGGTGTAAAGAAGAATGTGAGTTGGACATTATCTAAAGATGATACTATCTGCTAACATTAATTTGAGTACTTACTGTTTTCCAAAAACTGCTCTATGTCTTTTGCATACACTAGCATATTTAATTCTAACCCGAACCCTTAAGAGGTCAATGATCTTGTTTCGTAAGTATGGGAATACAGCCCCAGAGAGATTCAACAATATTAGTAAATTCATAGCTTGTAAAAGACTGAAGTGACTTTTAATCTAGATCTAACACTGTACTATTCTGTTTTGTTTTACACACACACACACACACACACACACACATGTGTGCACACACACATATGTATATCAGCAGTCACTAAATTCATAGGGACCTAGAATGTTCAGACCTCTGTGTATGCAGAAGAAAATGTTTATAAGGTGGGAATTTAAACGAGAGTCAAAATTATAAATCTGCACACATTTATATGGGAACTTAAGAATCAGGTTTCAAATCTGTTATGAATCAGCTTTATATTCCTTTAGGGGAAGTAATATTGCTGATCATTCCTAAATCAATAAGCTAGCCAATCTATCATGTTCAACCAAGTTATGAAGATGTTGGAAAAAGAGAATTTTCATCACCTGTCTTTTGCTGCAATGCTCTTTTCATAAAAGCATTAGACAAAGAAATATATCATCCCAAATCAGATTATACTGACTGAGACTGATGTTAAGAAATCTGGATCTGAAACAGCTTAATTGCCTCATATGTATATCATGAAAAGTTAGAATTTGTCAAATTTAATGACTGTAAAGAAATATATATATATATATATATATATATATATATATATATATATATAAATTATATATAAAAGAAAAACTAGGGGTCAACCAAGATCTCATGAGTTAAGTATGAAGGGAAAAAATGCTTTCCTAAGCCATATTATGAAGAATAGAACATTTCATAGTGCTCATGTAAGTATTTATCAATAACTTATTATTATCATATAATTGTGCAATTATTATAGGATATCCTCTTGAGAAATACTGCAATAAAAGATGTTCTTTTGATCCATTCCTGTTCAGCCAGAGCATACCCATATGTCAGTAATTTCTAGTAGTAGATATTCAAAATATACTTGCTTATGGTATCAAATATCTCTACTATTATCATGGCAAAAAGCATAATTCAATTTAGACTTTGCTATTCTTTTTCAAGAATTTTAAAACTTTTAAACGTATCTGATAGGGAAAATGTATATTTTTATATTAATTGTATCCGATAACTAATTTTCTTCTATAAATTGCTTCAAGATAAATTTTAGAATCTGGCCACAGTGCACTAAGTCCTTCTTACTTTGGATGGAAATGTTAAATAATTATTGAAGTTTGAAAACTAGATAGCAACATTAATATTAGCAGTAAGTTGATCCAACTTTATTTTAATAAATTAATTTCTCAATCACAAAAGTATTTATTCTGGGAAATACTGGGAAGCCTTAAAGTATTGTTTTTATGCATAAATTCTTTCTTTTTTGGTTTCCAAATGTTCTTAAATAGTATAGAGATCCTCCCTGTAAACATAGATGCACGTGAATGGATGTCTATCACATATTTAAGTGTTCATAGCCTCATTCTGTTTGCTAGATTTACAATCCTTGTAAATTATGAAATGTTGGCTTTGATATCATGAAGAGGTTCAATATCATGAACCTCTATATTTATTTACAATTTTCTAGCACAAAGAGAGCTTGACAATTCAAAGTTTGTCTAGCCTATTTATTGAGAA